ATTTTTACGCAATTCGCTAATAAACCGAATTGTGTTAAAAATGTATCAATTTTTTGAAATAATAACCTCAAAAACGTGCTACGTAGCACGTTTTTGAGGTTATTAGCGAATTGTGTTAAAAATTTTCTGAGTAAGTTTTCTTTGTTTTTTACGAAACCATATGTAATGTTCCAAATGGTTTTAGTTATAAAGATCAATTGAAATCCAAATAACTATAATTTAATTTAAGCACTACTTCAATTAATTCGAGGAAACGAAACTTGTAAAAGGAAGTTTGTTGTTGAAACACTGTCATAAGGAAATGTTGTTCTTGTTTGGAAAAAAGATCTTAATAGGAACTCATAATTAATTCTACCAAAAAAAAATCCACAGCTCCAAGAAAAACTATTTGAATTAGTAGTTTTCGTGTTCCGTAAATTAATAAAAGGGATTAACACCCCCAACGAATTATTTCTTAAAACACAAAATGTTAACAACTATTTGTGTTTAGGCATGGGCTCGTGTAATGGAACCTCTTGACTTCACACTGGAACCAGTAAACGTCCCCACAATGATCTTAGGGATAAAAAGACTAGGGAAGTAGTAAATGCCCCTTCAATTATCTTAGAGATGAAAAGACACGGGAAGTAGTAAATGCCCCTTCAATTATCTTAGAGATGGAAAGACACGGGGAGTAGTAAATGCGCCCACAATGATCTTAAGGGTGGAAAGACACGGGAAGTAATAAACGCCCCCCACAATGATCTTAGGGATGAAATGCTAACTTTTCGTCTCTACAAATTACAGTTTGTAACGATGTAATAACTATCCACATTAAGTTTCATATCAATTTTTGTTATTTAATATGTAATAACAATGCACTACAGAAGCCCTAAACTAAGCTAAAATATTAAAAGTAAAACTCCATTTACAACTGTTCATTTTACTCCAGCTTGTAATGTAGTTTAGTGAACTTGGGTGTTTATAAACACTATTATAAGAAGCAAGAAAACTTTGAATGGAAACAATGTTAAATTTATCGATAGATAAATATTTTATTGTGACAAAAGAATCTTGAATTACATTACATTCTACTAAACTTACACATACATATTTTAAGTGTATTATTTTGTACGCTGTACATGTATGTAACGGCATCTTTTATAGACGGTGAGGCCAGTTCAGTATACACCACCATTTTGAAACCACGATAATGTTCCCAGAATGTTATGACACTTTCAACTTTGTTTTATATCTAAGGATACCTGAAAAAATTCTATGTCAAAACGCGATGATTCCATCATTATTCCACTTTCCATGTCTTCTTAAAACTTTGATTTTTGGACGAACATAAATTGATGAAAATACCGCATTTTGAAACATGCAAGACATCAACCGGTAAAAAAAAAGTTAATTGATATTTTCAATATTGATGTAAACAAGATAACAACTCTACAAAAAAGGCCCTGAAACTCAATAGATGTTTTTGTTTGATTTCGTTTTGATATCTTGAATATTTAATGGATAAAGAAATATATCACATCATCTGACATCAAAATGATGCAAAATTTTGTAAATGTAGTCAATCCTTACCTTGAAAAGACAAGCTTCCAAACACATCATGTTCAGAGGACGCGGCTCCAAAACGTTCTCTCTCTAGACAGTGGAAGCAGACACAGCTATCTTGCAAGGCTAGAGAGATCGATATAAGTATATAAAATCGTGCAGGCGCCGAAGGACCACGAGCTACATCTCTCTCTCTCTCTCTCTCTCTCTCTCTTTTTCGAAAAATAGCTCGCGAAGTACTTTGTTGGTTGTGAGTCCGCTGGTGACGTTTTTCGACAACAAGATTTAAAACAGAACAAGAAAACTCAGAAATGTATTCCAAGAATCCGAGCTGTACGTTTGTTGTTGTTGTTGTTTTTTTTGTCACGACCAACAACAAAGAGGTAAATAAAGTCTGGGGTATAAATGTATATTTATTAACCTCGTAAAAAAATAAGTTAACTGTTTGATTTTTGTTTATTTGTCAACACAACATTTTTGCAGTAACTGGTGAAAGACAAAACATGATTAACATTATATCATTCGATTGTTTTCAAAAACGTATGTTTCGATCTATCTTTTCCTTCAGTAAGTATGGGGCAAATATGGGGGCAAAGAAATGGTCAATCTGTACTCAAGGGTCCGGCATGGCCAGGTGGAAACCTACACGAGGGCTATCTGCGCTAGCCGTTCCTAATTTAGCAGTGTAAGACTAGAGGAAAGGCAACTAATCACCACCACCCACCGCCAACTCTTGGGCTACTCTTTTACCAACGAATAGTGGGATTGACCGTCACATAATAACGCCCCCACGGCTGAAAAGGCAAGCATGTTTGGTGGGACGGGGATTCGAACTCGCGACCCTCAGATTGCGAGTCGAGAGCGCCCTAGGCTAAATTAGGGACGGCTAGCGCAGATAGCCCTCGTGTAGCTTTGCGCGAAAAACAAAAAACAAACAAACAAGATCAGATACACCTGTGGTTCAGATAAGAGACGCCTGTGGTTCAGTGATAGTTACCCTTAATTTTGAACTGTGTGCCAAAAGGAACACAACAAACCCGTCGCTAGAGGAAGTGTGTTTACTAGTACCTACTCTCAAACTAGAAACTCTTAGATCCCTAGTGTCGCTTACCATTTGGCGACACTAGGTCCTACAGAGAAAGGATTGTTGAGTTTGTTTTTCATAAGCTTATCCTAGGCTGTGATTGGGTATAGTTTATCTGTTTGTTTTGAATTTCGCGCTGGGTGGTGATGACTAGCTGCCTTCCCTCTAGTCTTACACTCCGCCAACTCTTGGGCTACTCTTTTACCTAAGAATAGTGGGATTAACCGTCACATTATAACGCCCCCACGGCTGAAAGGGCGAGCATGTTTGGTGTGACGGGGATTCGAACCCGCGACCCGCAGACTACGAGTCGAGCACCCTAACCACCTGGCCATGCCGGGCCGTATCTGATCTTATCAGGCCCATTGTGTTTGTGTTGAAGGTGTAATTTAAATGAATAAACAACAAAAACCGAACTTTATGATAAAGAATGAGAACAATCCTATATTAATATCCCAGACTACCCTGAACAAAGTTTCAAAAATATTCTAAATATTCTTATTCTAAATTGTTATTAATTTTGAACGATTACTCAAAAATTCCTTGCATACATTTTTAATTTATATTTCTCATTATGTTGGTTACTACCGACTCCCAGTGGCTCATGGTAAGATTGAGAGTTTATGTACGCTAAAACTCGGGATTCAATACCCGTGATGGAGACAGCGAAGATAACCCATTACTTAGCATTATCCTAAAGCCTTTACGCGCGCCAATCGCCTTTGTTTCTTTTCTCTCTTCATCGGGATTTAGATTCATATGGACCTGGGAGGGTCCTTGACCTCTTCCACCCATCACCTTCTATCCATCTCTCGTGATTTAGGACTTGAAGACCTGGGAGGGTCAGGTTACAAGGCTTGACCTCTTCCACCCATCACCTTCTATCCATCTCTCGTGATTTAGGACTTGAAGACCTGGGAGGGTCAGATTACAAGGTTGACCTCTTCAACCCATCACCTTCTATCCATCTCTCGTGATTTAGGTCTTGAAGACCTGGGAGGGTCAGGTTACAAGCTTGACCACTTCAACCCATCACATTCTATCCATCTCTCGTGATTTAGGTCTTGAAGACCCGGGAGGGTCAGATTACAAGGTTGACCTCTTCCACCCATCACCTTCTATTCATCTCTCGTGATTTAGGTCTTGAAGATCTGGGAGGGTCAGATTACAAGTTTGACCTCTTCAACCCATCACATTCTATCCATCTCTCGTGATTTAGGTTTTGAAGACCTGGGAGGGTCAGGTTACAAGCTTGACCTCTTCCTCCCTCTGCACGGGTGTTATAGTTACACTGATCGAATGTTAAACGTTACATAAAAGAGGGCGTTGATTGCACAAAAGTTTATGGTATGAATTCAACATGCACCTCTCAGCTATGTCCACTTATAATTAACGTTCACCATTCACACTGGTATGCACTTCGTTATTGATAATCCCATATATTACAATGTCTTTTCATTTTGTAGCCTAAACTATATGTATCTACATAAATACCCTAACAATACACAATATATATATATATACCACAATAATGATATATTAGGTAGGTTCTTAGGCTCGTTTCCGTCATGTATGATATAGCAATCTAGTGTGTGTGTAATATTTCGTTTTTGTGACTGATTGATCTGTTTAGAAGACTGTCGGGGTGGTTCAATGTTTGCATATTTACGTACAAAGTTAGAGTTTGTTGATCGTGGAACGTGATATTGGGGTCTTCTTCTTCATCGGGATTCGGTCCATGTTTTGGAC